TCTCTTTCTCAATCCAAACTGTACATTCTGTATTTCTTTCTGCCCCATCTTCTCTTTTTCACTGTAGGTCTGTATAATATTCACCATTAATAGCCACACCACAATTTCTATGTGGTCTGTCTTGAAATTTCTTCCACCAGAGAAATTAGTCCATTGCTTTTCAACCAAGGCTCAGGCAAGCTTTTTGGCTGTGGGCAGACTCCAGCCAGACTAAGTCACTATTTCCCTCTGTAACTATATTGTTTTCAGCACTATTTTCTTCCAGGCACCTCCTAGAATGGTCTTTTAAGCTCTGCTTACAGCAATCAACCACTTTTCTAGTCCAAACTTCCAAAATCTTCCACTTTCTTCCAAAACCCCACATGGTCAGGTTCTTCACTGCCAACACCCCATTCTTGGTACCAATTACTATATCAGTTACTTTTCTGTTGCTGTGATAAAAACACTGACCAAATAAACTCATAAAATGAAGAGTTTATTTGAGCTTAAGGTTCCAGGGGAATTACAGTTCATCATGGTGGGAGGCATGGTAGCAGGAGGCTAGGGCAGAAGCAGGAAGCAGAGAGCTCACATCTTCAAGCAGGCAGAGGAAGTATGAGCAGAAATCTTGGATGTCTTTGATCAGGTTTATTTCAAGATTTTTTTTTTTTGAGGCTCTTCTGAATGGGAGGGTTACCCTGTACTCTTTCTCCAAATGCTTATTATTGGTATATAGAATGGCTACTGATTTTTTTTTAGATTAATTTTATAGCCTGCCACTTTAATGGAAGTGTTAATCAGTTCTAGGAGTTTTCTGGCAGAATTTTTTGGATCTCTTAGGTATAGTATTATATCATCTGCAAAAAGGGGTAATTTGACCTCTTCTTTTCCAATTAGTATTTCTTTCATTTCTGTCTCTTGTCTTACTGCTCTAGTAAGACTTTCAAGCACTATATTGAAAAGGAGAAGAGATAGTGGACATCCTTGTCTGGTTCCTGATTTTAATGGGACTGCTTCCAGGGTTTTTTTCCATTTAGAATTATGTTAGCTGTGGGTCTGTTGTATATAGCTTTCATTATGTTGAGCTATGTTCCTTCCAGTCCAATTCCTGTTAGGACTTTTACCATGAATGCATGCTGATTATTTATCAAAGACCTTTTCTGCATCTATTGAGGTGACCATATGATTTTTTTGTTTTTTTAGTCCATTTATATATGATGTTTATTGACTTTCATATATTGAACCATTCCTGCATCTCTGGAATAAAACCTACCTGACACTGTGGATGATCTTTTTGATATGTGTCTGTATGCAGTTTGAAAGTATTTTGTTGAGAATTTTTGTATCTCTGTTCATTAAGGATATGGGTCTATACTTTTCTTTTTTGGTTGTGTCTTTACCTGGTTTTGGTGTTTGAGTAATTCTGGCTTCATAGAAGAAATTTGGAAGTTCTCTGTTTCTATCTTTTTTAATAATTTAAGTAGCAGATCTTCTTTAAATGTCTAATAGGATTTTGCTATAAATCCATCTGGGCCTGGGCTTTTTTCAGTTGGGAGGCTTTGTATTACTGTTTTGATTTCCTTATATGTTATGGGTATGTTGAAATTGTTGATCTCTTCTTGGTTTAATTTTGGTGGTTCCTATAATTTTAAATATCCATCCATTTCTTTTAGGGTTTCAAATTTAAGGAAGGATAGCTTTTTAAAGTATTCCCTTATAATGTTCTGAATCTTTTGGGTGTCTATTGTTCTGTTTTCCCTTTCATCTCTGATTTTATTTAGTTTTTCTCTTTCTTTCTTTTGATTAACTGGGCTAAGGGTCTGTCTATCTTGTTTATCTTTTCAAAGAACCAGCTCTTAGATTCATTGATTCTTTGTACTATTTTCCTTATTTCTACTTCATTAATTTCTGTTCTGATTTTTGTTATTTCTTCTTATATGCTGGATTTGGGTTTCATTTGTTCTTGCCTTCCCTGCATCTTGAGTTGCAATATTAAGTCATTTTATTGCCTTCTTTCTGATTTCTTAATGTAGGCACTTAGAGGTATAAACTTTCCTCATAGGACTGCTTTTAAGGTATCCCAGAGGTTTTCGTATGTTGTATTGTCCTTTTCCTTTAATTTCAGGAATACTTTTATTCCTTTTGTCCCTCCCCACTTCAGGTAAAACCAAACCAAATTTCACACCTCATTTCCCAGGTTTCATTCCAGTGGCTGCCGAATCAGCAGCAGCCCCAGAGTCAGAGACGTCAAAGCAGAGTTGTCAGGCGCAATTTTATATATATCTCACAGGCTGCATTTTTACTTTGGAAGCGGACAGTCGTACTGACGATACTCCCCAACCGTAAATGTGACCTGGTTCAGGAACTGGTTATCTCTGCACACTTAAAAGCTGAAAGGCGCCTGCTGCCAGGTGGCTATGACTGCTGCGAAAAACCGACCTGCAGGAGCCAGGTGGCAGGGCGACGAATCCGGTCCAGGAGGCGGGAAAACAAGTGGCCGGGTGGGAGGCCGGTGGCGCTCCTCTGGGCGCCGGGGTCGGAAGTCTGGGCGTCTCGCTCTAGGTCGCCTGGCAGGGGCGCCCAGGCCCCGGGGAACTGCTGCAGCCCCAAGGCACCGTCAGGCCCTTCTGCGGACTCCTCCTCTCCCACTGGAACGGCTGGTTGTGGATCGCATCGGGGACCCAAGTCAGGCAGGCAGCTCGGATTGCTGGGCTCCAAGGTTTTCTGGGTCCTGGACCCAGCCTGGAAACCACCAGGGAGGCTGGGAGGCGGTTCCCAGAGCGAGTCAAAGCTGTGGAATGCGCACTCTCCTAGGACCGGGTAGCAAGGAAGAGGCCAAGACTGAAGATCTTCCCAGGTCAGGACTCCAGGAGGACTCCGGGCTTCTGGCGGCCCGCACTTGGGCCGAATCCCAAGCCGCCTTTCCACGCAGGGAACGGACCTTTGGCTCCATCGCTCCAGCCTCACCCACAGCAACCCCACTGCGGGCTGCGGCATTGCACCAGCTTGAGCTCTGGTGCAAGGGGCAGAGCCTTCTGCGGGTTCCGTATTTACAGCCTGCCAGCGGAGGGCGGAGGCCTCTAAAAGCTTGTGCTGGAATGTTCTAGAAAATCAGCACCCGGATGGAATCCGACAGACGTCCGTCCCGCGTGTAGGAAACCGACAGAAAGCATCTCAAAGAGTGAAGGTTATCTGGGCGAGGAGGGAGAAAACAAACCGAAAGTTGCAAGTTGCAAGGCGGGATGCGGTGCAGCCGAGCCCCGGGGCGCTGGCCGGTATTTCCCTCCGGCGTAGCCCGGGCCCGGTAGGGCCAGGACCCTGGTTGAGTTCTGTGTTGCAGGACAGCTTCCCTAGCACGGCCAGAACCCGCCTGCAGAACCAAAGGAGACGGACCGAATGCTTTGCAGCTTTGAAATCACTCACGGTTTTGAAACCGAGTTTCTGGCTACCAATGGGGAACTTGGCACGGCGGACAACTGCCAGGCGCTGACGCCCCGGCGGGGTCTGGAGCAGGAACGCCTGGTGACCACAAAGTCACTCACCCTAACTTTGCTGTGCCTCAGACGCGCCACCGCCCGGCTGAGCCCCGCCTGCCGGTACTGCTGAGCAGCCGGAGTCCTTAGCAGCCGGAGTCCTGCGATTCCGAAAAGGCCCGCGGGGTCCGGACAGGTCCACTTCCCTGCACCTCCGACTTCTGACTCCGGCTTCTGTCGCTACCCGGGTCGGCGAGAGCTGCGGAAGAGCTGGCGCCGACGTGCCTTGGAAATCTGGATGCGGGGAAGGCAGGTCCAGAGAGGGCGAGCAGCGGGTCTCAGGCAACCTGGAGGGGCTCTGGACAAGAGCAAGCAGGTGTCGTCGTGCCTCCCCCCCCCCAAAAGGTGGACACATCCTGACAGCCAGGGCCTCCGGGACCCACGCCGCTAGCGACTTCTGGTGTGAGGAAGCCGGGTGCTGAGCCGGCGAGCAGCCAGTCGCCTGCACCCTGGCCGGACCAAGAGGGTAGCGAGCCGGTGAGCCTGCGCTTGCACCCTGGACGCATCCGGACAGGCAGGGTCTCCGGAGAACGGACCTGGCCCTGACCCGATTAGCAACTTCGGGTGCCGGGAAGCCGGATCCTGAGCCGACGAGCAGCCAGTCGCCAGCACCCTGGTCGGACCATGGAGAGGAGCAGGCCGGTGACCCTGCACTAGCCGCTTGTAAGCATCTACACAGCCAGGCCTCCATAGGATGGACCTGCCTCTGACCCGACTAGCAACTTCGGGTGCGGGGAAGCCGGATCCTGAGCCAACGAGCAGCCAGTCGCCAGCCCCCTGGCGGGGCTCTGGAGGGGAGTGAAAGAGTTTCTTTGTGCTGGCTGCCTGGACCCATTGGGACCTGGCTGGCCTCCTGAGAATGGACCAAGGCCAAAGTGACCATCAACCTCGGTCCCCACCCCGACCCCGGCCCCCAAGTGCGGAGTTTCGCGCCTCACCACCGCTAGGGGCGCTAGACACACACCCACACCTCCTCACCGTCCCCACCCCCACCCCCCCGCCCCACAAGAGCTCCTGCTCTCACTCCGGAAAGTTTGTCCTGAGACAAACCCCTGAGTCACTCTCACAAACCCTGAGAACTCCCAGCACGTCTGAGTGCAGCCAGGGAAAAGCTTTACACTGCTGGGAAAGACGCGTGTTCCTTGGGTCGCCAGCGAAGTGACTAGGGAGACCACTTGACAGAAGTGCTCCCACTAGTGTCCCTAAATCGGTTCCTTCCCACCCACCTACTGCCAGACTGGTTTCATCCCTACTTCAGGTAAAACCAAACCAAATTCCACACCGCGTTCCCCAGGTTTCACTCCGTGGCTGTCGAACCAGCAGCTGCCCCAGAGACAAAGACCTTCAGAACAGACTTGCCAGGTCTTAGCTCACCGGCACCACCCCGCGACTTTGCTTTTTAAATAAATTTCAAACACTTCAAAATCGACCCGGACAACTGAAAGCAGATCTCGTGCAATTTTATTTTCCTTTTCCCAAAAAAAAAAAAAAAAAAAAAAAAATTCCACTGGCTGTATTTTTACTTTTGAAGTGGCCGGTCGTGCTGATGATTCCCGGCAACGGTAAATGTGAAGAAGTTCAGAAACTAGTCATCTCTGCACACTTTAAGAGCTGAAAGGCGCCTGCTGCGCGGTGGCTATGACTGTCTGCTGCAAAAGACCAGCTGCTGTTGGTGAGCCAGCAAGTGGCACCCTGGCTGGGCTCTAGAGTGGAGTGAGCCGATGTCCCCTCGCTGGAGAGGTGGACACTACCTGACAGCCAGGGCCTCCAGAGGAAGAACTAGGGGTGGAGGAGGCTGCTATCTGTTTCGGGTGTGAAGATGCTGAGCAGATCGCCAAGATGTAAGTGCCACTACTGCACCAGTATAGTTTACTCTGCCAGTCATTGTTGTGATTGTTAGACTTTAAAGCTAGTGTCTGACAATTGATTATCTTTTCCCTTAGCAGCTTGCATAGTGTCCTCTAAAACTATGAGTGTTAGTCTTCAGGGAGGAAGCTTCCAGGTCAGTTTCAGCTCCATTGCTCCAAGTCCTGTGTCCAAAGCATGTCCTATCTTCAGCAATAGGGTCTTATCTTCAAGTTCTGGGAGATAATCGAGGGCTGTGGTAATAGCCTATGTAATTTTGGGAGTCTCTTGGATTTCCCTGATCAACAACTTGAAGTGAGGTTTCCTCTGTCTGGCACTGTTTCTTGTTATATATCTGCTATACACATGCACTCATGTTCAGATATTGTATGTGTATTTTTCAGTAGGCTTTTGAACTAATACATTTCCTTCTGGTTTTTTACACCACCAAAGCATTATTTCTTCCTCTCCTCTCTTTCCCTGACTAATCCTCCTCAGTTAAAGTGCCCCTATTTCCCCCATTTCTCCCTTGATTATACCTCGCCTATAATTCCCACTCTGAGTTCCTTCTTCCATTTTACACAAATGTTTCCTTGTATAGCCCTGTCTCTTCTTCCAATTAAATACCCCCATTTTACCCATTTCACCCTTGGTAACACCTGTCTCCTGCTATCCCTCTGTCTCAGGCTCCTTCTTTCCCTTTCCCTTCATGGTTTCTTTCATATTCCTAGCTCCTGAAGTTCCATTAGGATATATACTCACATATAAGGATTTGGTGCTAAGATCCACAAATGAGGGAGAACATACATTGCTTTTCTGAGTCTGTGTTACATCACAGTATAACAGTTTCTGGTTTCATCCATTTATTTGCCAAGACAAGTGTGCCAGTCACCACTCATCAAAGAAACTTCTTTTGGAACAGACAGAAACTATTACAGAGTTTCACAACTGGTCACACACAGAGAATAAGTGTCTGTGAGATGCTCAACACCAAATGACACATCTACAATGGAACCTCTATACGGAACAGAGTGGAACAAGGGGTAGAGAGAATACAAATTCATTTCTCAACTCTCATCAGTGAAGCTATCTCATGCAATGAACACAAAAGGCCACAAATGGCCAAAATATAGAGAATAAGAGGCTGCAGAGTGTGGGTCCCTGGACAGGACTCCTACATTAAACTTCACCCACCCAGAGCTCAGGGACCATTGTGGAAGAGGGGGAAGAAAGACTGTAAGAACCAGGGGAGGAAATGCATGACCATAGGGAAACAGTCTTACAGCCTCCTGGTGATAGAATCAAACTAAAGCCCCCAGGTTAAAGTGGAGTCCCCCAGACCAAAGCAAAGAAAACTATTCTGGAAGCTGTACTAGGAAGTAAGATATAAAATAATTCTAAACTGCTGAGAAAAAACCTGACCTTTTCATGCTCTCTGCACCGGTTGCTGGAAATCCCCTGAATTCCCCCTCCCGTCTTTGCTTCTTGGCTCAGTAATCGCTTATGATTTATGGTTTTTGGCTTTTAAAAGGGGCTTGTAATCTGTGCTCAGGACTTCTGCTCTCTGAGCTAGATGTCCGTCTGCGCAAACATAATAAAACCCTCATGCTTGTTGCATCTTCTGGTCTGAGGACTGAGTTATTGGGGTGCGACCTCCCGTGAACGTTGGGTACCCCAGACTGGGGGTCCAACACTGGGAACTTGCTCATGTGAACTTACAGCAATGGTGACAGCATGCACAAGACCCATACAAACTCAGACAAAAACCAACATAGAACTGGGAAAAATGGACGGGAGACCTCAGCTTTGATGAGGAACTGTTGAGCTGATCACTGCTGGGTGACAGAGAGTAAATCTTCTTTAAGGGAATAATGCTACACAGGCTGAACAGGCTCTGGTGGAAGAACTCACACTGAGGAATATCTGGGTACACAAACTTGACTAGATAGGCCTTAACATATATCACAAAATGCATGGAGTCCTGTGGGCCAGTTATAGGGGGTGTGGATAGGAAAGGGAGGGCTAAATATGGTTACAATGTATTAAAAATTCAATAAAATATGTATTTAAAAATTGCTACATAAAAGGTTATCATTCTGATGTTGCTTTGTTTTTTTATACTCTATTGATGACTTTTAGATAGAAGAAAAACTATTAAAATGTTTCTGTGTGTGCCTTCATATGACTCATTTGAGGTTTTCTGATGGAACTAAGAATAAATGTGTGTGTGTGTGTGTGTGTGTGTGTGTGTGTGTGTGTGTGTACACATATATTGTATGTATGTGTGATATAGATTTTTTTTTTTTGGTCTTTTTGAGACAGGGTCTGTAGCCTCAGCTGACCTAGAATTCTCTATGTAGACCAGGCTGACCTTGAACTCAGAGATCCGCCTGCCTTTGCTGCCCAAGTACTAGGATTAAAGGCATGCACCACCACACCTGTTGTGAAATAGAATCTTTAAACCTTGGTGATGTGACTTTTTTTTTTATTGTCACTTTTCCCAAGGGAAAATTTGTTAATAAAATAAATGTGTTTGAAATGCTGGGGGGAAGAAATCCATTCTGCTAAATGATTATTAACATATTTTGGAGGTAAAAATTTATTTATTTATTTATTTATTTATTTATTTATTTCTCTCTTTCACTGAGTCTCACTATATAACCCTGACTGACTGACTGACCTGCAAAGCTCTATGGTCACCAGCCTGGTGATGAACTCACAGAGATCTCCTGTATCTGCCTCCCCAGTGCTGAGATTAAAGGTATGTACCACCCACCTAGCTAAACACACTATCTCTAAGTCAACAGCAGTTTTCCCATTCATCTTCTAACTCAGCTACCTATAGACTTTAATTCCAGATAATTACTTCCAAGAAGATAGGATTTTATGTTAGAGTCTTAACTCTGCATTGGAATGCAAAGAAATCCTAGGATTAAAGGCCTACCACCCAGATTACTGAAGTGCAAAGGTTGGGAGGGTCTTACAGGCTAAAGAATATAAAGGTCAGGCTGGTGACTTCAGACTTTCCAGTCCCACATTTTTACAGGTGTAAGTGCAGCACCATCTAGATGGAGCAGTTCTGCCCCTGTTTGGTAGAAGAAACCTTGGATATGCTATGCCTAAGTCCAAGATTTTGCCAGTCCTGGCCACCCAGGCTCTGCTGGTGCATGGAGTAGGAACTGTTTTCCATTCCCTGTGGGCTTCAGAGCTGGGACTGCCTGAGACATTAGTCCAGACTGCATTGTGCCACAAATTGGGGGGCAGAGCTCATCAAGGGACATCCCATTCCTGAGAGTCACAAGGAACTACAAATGCCCCCAGGAGAAGTGAACAGAGGCAGCAACACAGAGAAGCCAAACCAACACCTACCAGGATCACCAGAATCATTCAGCATCTAGAAGAAAGGACTGGAGCCTGAAACCTCTGATGGAGACCTTACTGAGCCTGGACCTGCTGTAGGCTGGACCTGCAGCAAGGGTGTCAAGGCTGCTAGAGCTAGATTTGAAGTGCTTTTGGCCAGAAGAGCAAAAGTAGCCCAGAATCCTCTTCTTAGGAGCCTGGGAGCCCTGGAGATGCCAGCTTAATACTTGCCATTAGAGGATAATCCTCTGCCAGCTCATGCTACTACAGAAACATCCATGCCTTCACTTAAAAATGAAAGCCGATGGTTCATCTTTGCCACCTTCTGTGCATTAATAACCTTCTCAATAAAAGTGTCAACAACTGCAAATTCATGTCACATTTTCTCTTAATATGCCATAGGGAGAAGGTAAGGGTGAGAGTGGAAGTGTTTGAGGACCCTGCCCTGCTTTGCCGTTGGTCATAGCTATGGTGAGTGGTTGGTTCTTCTCTTTAGAGGGAGGCCTTGATAGACAACTCAGTGCTCCTATGGGCCATAAGATAAGACAGGCAGCAACCTTGAGAATTTAGTTTGGGAAATTTTTCTGTTGGCTCAATATGAACCTATTTTTTTCTTTTTCTTTTAAAGTAGTGTTTCACTCTGCAGCTCTGACTAGTCTGGAACTCACTGTATAGAACCAGGCTGGCCTTGAACTCACACAGATCTTCCTGCCTCTGCCTCCCAAGTGCTAGGATTAAAGGCATTCACCATGATATTGATCGATGTGCACTTTTACCCCCAGGTCTGTCTTCCCTCTGGATTAATCTCTAGGCCTCCTGTCACTTCCACCTTGCGCTATCTCCTCCAGCCCTGATCCCTATTTAAATATGTTTTACTGAGTCTCCAGATAGAACATGAAGCTGTACATTCTAGGCAAAGTCACTATCACCAAACTAAGTCCCAGCCCTCCAAATAAACCTGAAGTCTTTATTCCAGGGGAACCCAGGTCCTTTGTCTCCTTTGGGTGCATTACAGTATCCCAGGAGTGTCTTTCTATTTTAGCTTGTCCCAGATCCTAAGTTTCTGCTACACAACTGAATTCACCGGGAGAAACAAGACTGGGGTGAAGGGTGTCTAGACACAGAGAATCCAGCCACCTCAGCTCCATAGTGTGGCCTTTATACTTCCAATCTGGGGTGAGCTTGCTTGCAACCCTCACCTTAACTAGCTGGCTTTACAGACAGCCTAACCTCAATAGGAAATGAGTCTGAATGGCAGGCCCCATTGCATTTGGGGAATCAAAACAGTTATGTGAAGCAGTGCTCAGAAATTGGGAGGTTCAATTATGCTATTTCTCCTGGAACTTCACCTGTGCAAGAAAACTCCTAGGGAGTTGGTAGATCCCACTCTTCAGCCCCCCCTTTCCTCCAATATCTGCACCACACCTACCTATGTGGCTACTACTATTCAAGCATGATCAAGTTGTTGTGAATTTTGTGATACTATTTTTGTACTTTTGTTAGCACACAGGATGGTAGTTTTGCCTTTTTAGTGTTTCAGAGGATTTTTAAAATATTTTATTTTTTAGTTTATGTGTATGAGTGTATTGCCTACATGCAGGTAAGTGCACCTGTGTTGTGCAATGCCCAGGTCAGA